TGAATGCAATACCTGCCTTGTTTCGCTAGTTCGTCTGTATATGCACCGTGCCAAAAGTGTTTGTAAATGCAAAGCGACGCTTAATTCACGGACCAGTTACACTTATATTATGTTAAAAATCTACCCAAAGTTCAGTATCATCGGGAAGGTAATAACGTAAGCTACTTTGTGAAATAGAAGAAATTCAATGAATTGTTATGAACATAGAAAAAATTTGCAATGAACATCAGCGCGCGCTGTAATCATAATTTTGGCCCACCCTGTATATTTGTACATTTCGGAAGACCAAGTGTTCAAAATGATGCTCCCCTATGAATTGCAAATAGTAGTAGTATCCCGGCTCCCGATTGATATGGGCGCAATAGTAGAAACACTGGGTGCGTAACATCAACACAATCCTCTACCAACCCCTACTTCACCTCCCGCCTTCCCTTCGTCCTTCCCACGTTGAACAGCATCAAAACAAACATTTATAAAATTGAAGTCAAATGTCCTTGCATCAACAATCGCCGTTGGACCGCCTCACCAGTCAGACTCACGGATTAGCGCTAAAATAAATTTTAGCACTAATAAACACACTACCTGCACACGTTACATACATCTCGTACATTTTTTACATGTTGTTGCTATTACGAGAATAGTAACAACATTTTACTGACTGGTTGTTCCTACAATTCACAAAGTCAGGTAACGATTCAGTGACATCCCGAATCTGAATGGAATTCAAACAGACCGACAAATTAAAAAAGAGACTTATCAATGGTAGCAATATTCTGTTATACAATCCCTCACTTTATGTTAATTATCTACTGTGTAGTGCGTTTCGAAAGGGAAACGGCTCCACAAAACGGCTTAATTATTCATAAGTGACGAGTAACGTAAACGGTCTTAAATTGAAACGATCTTACTCCAATCAGATTAACTAGATGAAATATGAGGAGAGTTTGGAGGGACAAGACCATATGAGGTTTCGTTGCAAGATGTATGCAACTTCCAATCAAGCAGATTGTTGATCTGCGAAGATCTGGTAACGGTTAACAGGTAACACGTAGTCGGCGTGGTCGTTGCCGTTTGTCCCACTAGTGTGCAATGACCCGTTTGCTATCACTATAAATTTTCTCTTCTACATCTTCACATAACCTGTTACTAGCTAAACATGAGTTTTGTCACCCTTTCACTTATTTAGATTTAGTGTAATCCATGCACCTTGCGTTCTGAAGTATCGTCATAACATCAGCTCATAAGCGTTCTGAAACTATGATAAGCAGGCTTAGATGGAAAAAAAGCAGGAAAACAATGGCATTGCACTATTTCAAACACTATTTCCATTTCTTCTTGAAGTGTACTCCAATCCATCGAACACCTAGTACTCGTCGTAAGAAATACTAGAATTGCGCGAAAAATAATGAACTCGTATCTTTCCGTCTCATCTTTTTTTATAAATCAGTCTTTTCTTCAATCTTGCGTTAACCATGGGAATCACTCATCATTTCCTGCAAGATGGTAATACGAAAGGGTTTCATTCCGGAATATCTTGATTTTCAAGCATACTGTTAGGTTCAATGGTGTATTACAGCTGATTCTCAGAAGATAAGGATGACTATAAACGAGCTCGAAAAACAGCCAGTGTTCGGCACCACCGTGTTCTTCACCCGAGCGATCGCATGATCAGCTGTTTTTGTTAGTTGTAACTACTTCCTTGACTCTGCGCAATCTTCTGATGGTGAGCTGAGGATGGCATAGTGCCAATCGTAGTCCTCCCATGTTTACCGTGAAACCATTGTCACTCAACACTCCTGCCTTTTTTGCAACTTGTCCTAGAGTTTATCCCTACTCTCCTGTATCAGAGTGATGTCATTAGAGCAGGAGATAACCTTCAGTAGAATCTCCATGAGTCGTTCTGGGATGGCATCCACTGTTACTAGGAAAAGGAACGGGCTCAGAACGGATCCTTGCAGAACTCCAGCCGGGACGCCTAATGCATTGCACTATTTTGGGAAGACTTGAAGTGTGGATGTAGCCTGTAGCGTGAATACCCATGATCAGAGATTAGGTGCTTGGCAAGGGATCGCTCTCGCAGCGCTCTTCATACGCCTGGTCCTTAACCGGCATTATTACAGCTTAGCACTTCTATTGTTCTGCGCCCTGAATATTAGTACAGGGCACATCTTGCTGAATTGGTTGTCTTTATTTCATTACAGACTGAATTACTGTCTACAATGTGTAGTAGAAGGATACGCTGACTGTCGCGAAACCAGTTCCTCTTCCGTGTAAAGTTCGGGTAAAAAACCATCACCTCGAATAAGGAGAGAAGCCAAATACTTGACAAAATCGCCAGGTACGCTAGCAAATGGTGCTTCCTCCGTTCCCGATGCCAGCCGCCATCAGTGCGGTTTATTTGTACAAAGAACTCAAGAACAGAAAACCAACAAAGACCTAATTGATCTATATATTGTTCAATAGCATTTATTCCAGCGATTGGGACGTTTAAGTTGCAGCAGCATAATTTAGTCTGTTGAGGATATAAATAAAATTTAAAAAACAAGTAAAATAAATAATGGTGGTTAAAGCATTAGGATATGCTGCGCACTGATAGTTATGGCAACACAACAGAAGGAGTTCCCACTTTTACTTTCTATCTAAAACGTCACGAAATTCTTGTACAGCACTGGATTTGAGGCTTTCTCAGCTTTCTTGTGACCATTCTGTGCGACGTGATAAGTTCGTATTCTACACGTCGATTTGTGGTTCCTTCTGAAGGGTACTGCACACCTCAGTTCCTTCGCCGAAGTAGCTGATTTAGATTCATGATAGTATTCTGATTCCTTCTGTGTCTACGGAAGGGAACAGTTCGCAAGGGAAAAAACAGCTCTTAATGTTTACGCTTGTCAAGAAGCTTATTCTATTCTGAGCAATTTTTGAAACTGTTGATCATATAAACCTAGTTAAGCTCGTTACCTGGTCCTCGGATACTTGAGTGGAGAAGTGATTGCCATATATCGGTCCAGACTAATTACACAAAGATTCAAAATACTAGCGGTGCAAAGCAGCACATCGGATGTGGCCCATAAACCGCAAAGAAATCTCCCTGAAGTGGCACATTTTTGTATGCAAAAAGGAACCCTCAGAATAAAAGGGCCCTTAGCAGCTTTTATTGCTGATGCGTAGACATCAGTGATTGATTTTAATATCGTCTGCTATCCACAATACAGTGTCTATGAGAGAAACTTGGCTCTATTCTAATAATGCAAAGTTTGAATGGGAAACTGCATACCTAGTGGCCATCGATGACTATAAAGCAAATCGAGAAGTGACATGGGCATCACGACAAATCCTACCAGAAGATCTACAAAATACATGCATAAACAGGAAAAATCACATTTCACTCAAAATCCTTTGAAAGGTTTTTCGAAAGGCTTTATCAGAGCTGAAATTAAAATCGCACCTGCTGTCGCTAATGAGGTCAAGAGGATGTTAGTGAATGTACGCATTCGTTTATAGACAACCACGGACAGCACAACAAGCACGTTCCCAAACACGGTCATAAGTATCATCATTACCTATAAATAAAATGACAATGAAAAAAGAAGAGGCGTACAATAATTCTGGACGCCTAAGCACCTAAGATGAAGATGAAGTGACAAAAAAGAAAGCAGCTATATCTTTTGCACCTGAATGGAGTTAGTGCTCGAAAATGCACTTTTTTGGATTAAAAAAATTTACGAATTCGTACTTTACAGAATATAGCCACATGTTTCGATTAATAAGAACGACAAGGGCAAATTAGGATCAGGAAAATCGCCCCCTTAAAGGCACGGTTTACGATAAAAAAGGTTACTGAGTTCTTCCTTAAGGAATACTCAGCGCCCCCCAAGGGTGGTAGAAGGGACCCTCTCGCTCCCACAGTCTCGGCGCTTAGGGCATAGTGGAAGCCCCGTTGCTGCCGTAGTTCGCTTTCCCGCCCCTCGATCGGTGTCACGTTAGAAGAGTGTCGAGACAATACAGATTGCTATTATTCGTTTTAAGACCCACGCACAATCAGCTAATCGCCGAGTGATGAGGCGATGTTTTTCTCCCATTCTTTTTTTCCTCTGTTTTTCTTTTTCCTGCCGCGATCCCTTATTTAATTTCCTACTCCTAGAGGCTGAAAAAGGTGAGCTACTTTTGCTGTTACTAGGGTTTTTTGTTTATTTGTGCTTATAAGTGAATGAATTTTTGCTTACCATTGTCTGTTATTCGCACCACGACCTACACGCGCGCAGTGAAACACACTGTTTAGCTCGTCCGGACGCCCCACTCTTCTTCATTTTTCTGATCTCATTCTCGTCCAGCCCCTTTTTAACGGTTTTTCGAGGCCTTTTTTCCACTTTGGAAACACCGATGCACGCAGTTTCTTCACCTCAGTCGCACCGGTTTCGATCTTGTCTTCCATTTTTCATCATAATCTGGATTACCCAAAATTATCGTGAACTGTGCCTTTAATATATAACTACATGTGAAGGATTTGGTAAACAAGCAGTGGTATTCTAAGCGGTGCCGGCATCAGCCTGAATACTTGAGTCTATGTTTGAAACCCAATACCGTTTTAACAAAATATCCTCTCGAATATGAATATTTTCATTTGTTACCTAGCTCATTCAGTTGTTATACTGGAAAGGGTCAAAATAGAGCAACAATATGTAATATATATTAATTTGAATGCATAGTCAAGTCACGATGAACTGAATTTTCTTCAACAATTGACCTCAATCGAACACTGCCTTACACCATCTCAGCGAGTGGGCACTGATGACAGAAAAGCTGCAAACTCTCCGATTGGCTCGCCCAGTATTTCTTCAAGAATAGCAAACACTGAACTTCGCACCAATCATGAACCTCACGAGGATGCTGAGTTATGAGTATTATTCGACCTCGGACAAGACTAGAATATGGGAATGCGCTTTTATTTAGTTCAGGCCGCTTATGCCTTCGGCTTCCTAGTGGCAGTACCCTTAGGGCATCCACATGCATAAAGAAGCATACGATCTTGTAGACACAAAAAATTTGCAGTGCTAATTTTTCGTCTCTATCTGGGGTTTTACCCTGAGTATTCTTAAAATTACTGAGTTATCATTAAAACTCACCCCTAAGTTTTCATGTAACCTCAGTTCACCCCTGAACGGTTTCGCGGATATCTACATATGTCCGCTGCTGAATAATCGATTTATTACAAAGCCCCTTTTGTGCTATTGCTCTGAATCTCAGTGTTGCCAATGAAAAGCGAACACCGAGAGGCAATTCCGTAAGCTGACTGTGACGTCGATTTACCAAGTAGCCTGATCTGCTTTTAACAATTTGTAAGCTTCGCCAAAACATTACAATACCTCTGCGAGTTCTCGGCTCAGAATTAGCCGTTTAGCTCGGGACAATGCGATTCTTAAGTTGTATAACCCGAGCGCTGAAGAAAGTAGAGTTTGAAGGTTAAAATATGGGAAAAACCATGTTCATAATTTCCTGATGAACAAATGGACCGCAACATTCAATAACAAAGATGCGATACTAGGGAAGAAATCGAGGCGTGGTCATATAGTAAAAGCAAACAACCCTTTGGAATTCGTTAAATTGAAGTGAAGTGTTGAGAGTAGAGTTGGAAAATGAATGAATGCTACGTATTCGACCTCATCATAGTTTAGCTGTGCAAAGCTTTCAAAGCCCTCCTGGCACACTTCTTAGTCGCCAATACGTTGCATATGACAGACAGCAATATACAGTATGCGCCATAAATATGGTAACAAAAGAATTGGGCTACAGAAACTGCAATTTTAATTGTTGCATGGTGAATTCATGTGAGCTCTTTACTAAGCATCGCATCTACAAAACGAACACACAACGATTATATATAACCGTTCCCTGTACTAATTATAGCTAGGAGACGCTTCGGCTAATCATCGGCGGGGGCACGCAGAGTTTCTTGAGAAACTCCAGCCCAGGCTTTTTCCAATGATTTCTCAGGAGCAGCGACAATGATGCGTTTGGAAGTGCAGGCTTTTCTCTCCAGTATAGACTATATCCAGTGTCCATAAAATTGTGGTCCGGGAAATTCGTAGGAGGATTGGAAGCTGGGATAAAATCGCGAACATTTCCTCAGCAACAGTCTTGACCCTCTCCCTTTCGTGAGCGAGCGCGCCGTAGTTTTCAAAACGTATCCCTAGAAAAATCTTTGGCCCTCAGCTGCATCCTTTCAGGAAGACCCCTCTCAGAGTGGTTCGAATTAAGTTTCGCACTTTTCTCGATCAAAATTGCGACATCGCTCTGATGGTAGAGATTCTAGCTCAAACCATCATAAAAGAGGGAAATGGCTATGAGAGGCGATCTGACCCTCCCCGGCGACTTCAGCACTCGTAGTGCAAATACTCTGGGATCTCAACATTTCTTTCACGCTAAACAACCTTTAGTCAGAAACAAGTATGGCGAAGCGCGTGCCGCGCGCAAGTAGCGTACAGAATTCGTTTTTCCTCTCCAGCCTGTTCCTTCAAGAAGCTCATGAGGCTTTCGAATTTTATTCCGATACAGTTGTATTTACACTGGGCAGACTCTTCCCATCGGATTAGAACATACAAACAAATCAGCAGTCGTTCTTCTCGTGTATCTGAAGGCTCGGCAGCGCACTGCTTCCCAAGTTATTATACCTAGAAATGGGGTAGTATGTGAGAGAAGACGACCGTTTTGGGATTTGTCGTTGACCTGTCTGCGCATCGCGTTTCAAAAACCTGCCATGTGAGAAATGTTGAAACGAGAAGCAATTCCGGAAAAGGATTCACCGAATGCGCGCAAAGACGTGACGGTTGGTGGGTGTGTGCGGGGCTGCACCGTTTTCCGAAATCTGACGACTCGAACGCACCAAACTAGGTATGTGGCCTAAGGTATATCACAAACATAAGGGCAGGTGCAGATTTGAAGAAACCCTCCAAACAAGGAAATTACGGAGGTCCGAAAAGTAGTTACCATATTTATGGCGCACCCTGTAGTTTCATGAGCATTTCAGAATCGTCTTATCATTGGAAGCGTTTTTCTGAAACTCATCATACTGGATGGATTCTATAGGAGCCATTACGTTACGGGGCAACCAAATGTTCTTCCATGCTGAAGAGCCATTTGGAACTATTCATAGAAGAAAAAACAAATGTTCTTGGGCTCGATAAGGTATGTTGTAGCATCTGTTGTTGACGGTTCGAATTTTTCCAATATTCCAGCTACAGTGATATTGTAAAAAATTATTACTCATATGATAAACACCGATCCTTAGAAAAATTGCACAGGAACAGAAACAAAAAACAAGCTCCGCGTAACAACTGATTACGTCGTCACAAATACTGGAGTTGGTTGACCGCTGTCGATTGGGAACCTACGTAAAAGCACCATGCTGAATAACCATCATGTCAGTTACCATTTATGTTCACAAAATACATAATAAAACAGAAAAATTACTGATTGGGTTGAACGTTTGAACCTCAGTGAGCCAGAGAGATACATAAAATTTCGCGAAAGAAGAAGTTAAATTTTTAAGTTTCCGACGGCTTGGATGGCACATGGAAAGCGATGCCCTTCAATCACTGGCCTCTGATCAAAAACCAAAACAAGTTTGAAATTCCTTAACTCAAACGAAATAATAACTAGCCCTCATGTGTTTTGTATGACTTTCTATATTGTTTCTGTCACATTGAGTTTTTCAACAAGACTTGAATGATGACAGTGAATCTAGTAAGTGGCTGTCAAGAAAGACCCTGCGACGGCGCGGGATAAACGCTAGGGAATAGGAGAAGGAGAAGTAGAAGGCTGTGAAAAAAGAAAGTAATAATGTTTCCTTACGCTTGTTGTCTATATCAACGAGGCACATACACGATAGGTCATGAGCAGTCTAGAGTAAAGGCGCTGAGATAACAAAAATCGTGAAACTCACCAGGAAAAGGGCAATGAACACGTCTTGAAGTCCGAGACAAAGGCGATCTGGAGAGGTAGGATGGTTGGATAGTTTCCCTTGAAAATCCGCATTGGGATCTGTGCTCCACAGTGATCCCAAGGCCGCCTAAACGATAATGGAACTTTATCATGGTACAACAGATCGGCATTCATGAAAATATTGAAGTTGTGGTCGTTATCCACACGTGACTCGCTTAGTCAATCATGTTCTGAGGAGCTGACGAAGTTTGAACAACAAGAATGAAAGACAATTTGCCTGAATATAGACGAGGGTGGTCCATGCCATGTGCTTATGAGTTAGATATAGCACTCAAACTCGCAACACATGTCATTGTTATGGGAACTCAGAATGAACTGTGATGCCTCCAGAACAGATGGAATCTTGGTTATAATCTTCTGATACACACATACGGAGATGATGTTGATTCGAGATTTCGTTAAGGGGGAAGGGGTTCCGTGAATGTGAAACAACGATGAATGAGGCAGGGAGAGTGGCAAGAGGTAATCGTAGGGCGGCCCGGCTCCGAGAGATTAGGCACTTAACTGCGCATTCACATTCACACTTCAACACGCACACACGTAAAGGGGGAACATACCATATGTCTGTGTTGACAAACAGCAGCTCTGCGGTGTTAAACGATGCCAAACCACTCTGAAATCAAGTTTTTTTGTAACAGAGTGCATGACAACGCTTGATTCCATTCACGATTATCACACATTTTGAATCATATCGGCACGCCTGTTACTTCAGTGAAAAAGCTTATCAGTTGCCTTCCAACCAGCTCGGAACAACGGTTTAATGCGGGTAAGGAAGTATAGCCATCTTAAATGAGTTTTACAACAACCTATGAATATGTTACAATTCTCAGTGATGGTGCAAACGGCTGCAAACGGCGGAAGTTTTCTTTCGGGCAGCGAACTTTAGCGATTTCACCTCACTCGTCATACCGCTTGTGAGCTTAACATTCGCCTCCTGTCTGACCGACCGTTGCATGATCGGGCAATTCGATTCTTGTGGATTTCGGAAGGAGGGTGACTTTAAGACAGAGAAACCAGAATTGATGAATATTCCGTTAAACAGAGCAATGGAAAATATCTCTAGTCAGTTTTAGGTGAGGCATTTGAATATGTAGCCTTCATAGGGTAAGAATTAGACAAATGAAACCCCAATTAAGAGAAGCAAAACTGGAAACTTCGCTATGTCATAAACTAGACTTGTGAGTTATTCCCACAACTAATACTCCTCTAACTGAATTTCATCATTGTTGCTGTATGATTACAATAATGACAATCCACGTGAATGCGTACTTCACCCGCCTTTGAACATCAAAAACCAAATCGGGATCAGAGGCTACCATAAGTTCAGACTTACTTGAAGTTCCCGTGCCAGCGATTGCCAAAAGACAGTTCATGCCCATTACCCTCAAAGACGTACTTCAATGGAGCGCAAAATAGCATAAGAAAACGAAGTTCGAGCGGGCAACGCTTCACGCATACTGGTGAAAAATTATCAAAGATATAACTCAGAGGGCTGAAGCTGTGGTCATGAGATTTACAGAACCAAGCAGAGCAGCAGTCAATAGTAAAGATATTCTTGAATCAATGGCACAGTCGGGTCGTCCGGCTAACGCCGGGCTTCTCTCCTTCTTATAACAGAGTTGTGATAATCGGCAAACCCCTCGCTCCTTATTTGGAACAAATGATACTTTTTAGAACACGAAATTCGGTAGAGGACTAACAGTGCATGCAAATGGATTTCAAAATGTGATGTTTATGACTATTATTAGGAATGCGATCTTGCTGTTGCTCTTAATCTCAAAAATAATGACAATAATGACTCATTGAAGGTTCACCTGGTAGGCAAGCAAAGTCAGTGTGAATTGAACTCAAGAGTTGTCGAGTGATAACAAGACTATTATCAAATGTCGTTATCAATGAGACATCTTTCCTCTACGGATATATCATTGGACGAGAATCCAAGATCATTATCGGTCAGATAAGTTCTGCTAAAAATGATATCAAAGCAAAGAGAAACCCTTTACTGAGTCGCAAACTTTGCTGGATAGCGGTCGTAATCTAATAGCAAGAAATAAACCAAATTTTCATCTACTTATAATGGGGCGCCTTTGATCGGTCGCTATCACTGCTCTTACCCGTTTATCGAACGAAACCTTCAAAAGGTCAAAGAATGATTGTAAATAACGAAGGCATGAGGATTTAATTGGTGAGTAGTTCTTGCTCTCTGAGGCCTCTTCTACGGTCAGTGTTCCTATCCTGCCTCCTCCACTCCTACCAATTTTGAACACTCCAAGCCCACAGAAAAAGGGATCTTGAATTTGCTCAAGCGAGCAGTTCGCTCAAACCTGTGGGCGGAGTCTGGTTCTGCCAACCACAATAGGTGTTTCGATCCTGCCGCCTGCACTTATACCCAATTTGAACACTCCAGCTTCAAATTGGCACTTTTCGCACGAACCCCGTCCCCAGTGGGCGGAGTCTGGTCCTGTCACCTGGGATCCGGTATCTTCCCCCCGAACACCGCGTCGCGCTCGCCGCACCCGCCGCGTATCACAGAATTGCGACGGAAGATTGGAGCGTGCCATTTGTAAGGTAGGGAGTCCTTTAATTATTTGAATTCGCTGGCGGCCCCTTCAATTCCAATGCGGTCTTGATCATCGATAATATTAGTAGGAGTCATTCCTAACAATCAAGTCTAATAAACATAAAAATGAGAAATAAAGAAAAATAGAACCAAAACCAATCAAGAAAGAGAGGCAGTCAATGGAGAATATTTTGTCCTATCGATTGTAGGGAAGCTGGCTGAGTACGGTAATTGCAGTTTGGGGCCGCGAGACAACTAATTGTAAGAAAGATTTCCCGCATGCCGCAAAGCGAATGTGGGAAATCGAGAAGTTCCGTTATCCTGTCACCTATATCATTAGTGTTCCTATCCTGCCTTGTGTACTCTTACCCTCTCCAGGTCTACGGGAACAGGAGTTATGAATTCCCACTGAAACATAGAGCAGCAGCGGAAGATAAGCGGCGTCATCAATAAATTCGAGCGGATCTTCATTTCTGGTATGAACCGCCACCGTAAGAGAAATTTCTTGTTGTGTATGAGAGTTGAGAGTTCTTTGAGAATGGGAGGCCATCCCTCATGATTAAAGACAAAATTTTACCCATTCATCCAGATTTACAGGTGAACAATATATTGAAGCCCAAGCATAGCATTTCCTGTCCCCTCAGACTTGAGAGGTAGTGTTTTTACGCCCACACTGCAACTACTGAGAATCATTGCACACGCATCCAGTGGAGCGGCATCAGGCTCTATCTTACACACGTATGGAATCATTCTTGATTGCCAGAAAGAATTGCTCGTGTCATGCTCAAAGGATGGCAGCAATGTGGCGAAGTCAAGAAGTGTGTAATGCTGGATTTTACCCTTGGACAGATGAAGCCCTTCGCTATTATCGCTATGCTCACACGGAGCTTCCTTGCGGGATGCCCTGTCGCGAGTACGGAACAAAACTTTGGATTCCAAAGAAAACTCAATGACTGAGGAAAACCGTTGACTGCAGTCTTAAGGAATAGGGATCTAAATGGTTAGCGGAAGAGACAATCATATCCATCAGTAGAGAAGTATAGGAAGTATCGACAGAGCAGATGGATAACGGAACTAGTGTCACTAACACCCAACGAATGACCTATATAAAGTTCCACAGAGGAATTGAACGAAAAACGGTACTATACTCATGCAAAAAGTGGAGCCATTGCTCTGTGTGGTTAGCCAAGAGTCAAACAGCCACTAAACTTGGCTGATCTGACAGGAATCGATCTTTGCTTCTCAATAAGCTTCGCCTTAACATTCGATAGTGAAATTCAGTTAGTCACCTCTACCTTCTCTGGCCAGCACGCAATAATCCTGATCGACACGGCAGAAATTTCCTGCACTAAATGAGTGAGAGAACGCAAAAACTGAAATTCCAGTAATGCAATGGCTAGGACGGAAACCCCACTCATATGGGAGCACGGACAACTTGAACGCATGCAAAAAGAGCAATGTAGAATATAAGCTCTCGAAATTCATCTAGTGAATTCGACCGAAACACATCTGAATCCAAGGCGTACCTTGTCCATGTAGCGCTTGCCTGCATCTCGAAATTCGTTTGACTCCATTCTAAAGCAGTCGAAATAGTCACTTGTTAATGGACTCACCAATTTCCCGAAGACTTTCAGCATCATTTGAAAGAATGCAGCCTAGGCTAACTGCATCCTAAAACCCAGGCATTTTTTGTTTATTCGAAAATATTATACTAGTCGCTAGGTTCTCCTCCTTTTTCGGGTGAAAATTGGCCTGCCGCCTGTACCTCTTGCAAAGTAGAACGCACGTTCTAGTCAGAGACACATTTTTGCGCACGCTCTGCCCCCTGTAGACGAAGTGAAGCCCTGCCAACTACCAGTTTTTAGCCTGCCACCTGTTTTCTTATCAAATTTGAAGGTTCTCGGTCCGAAGTAAATTCCTTGGAGCACGCCTCGCTGCTTGTGAGCGGGGTGAGCTGGTGCCCAGCCGCCTGTACTCCTGCCAACTCGAGGGCTCTAAGTCCGGGACAACAGGAATTACAATTACCCTGTTTGGCACTCCTTTCGAGCTCGCTCCATCCCTAGAGGAGTCGAGTCCTGCCACGTGCTATTAATGTTGCCGTTCTTCCGCCTGTACACCCACCAAATTTGGATGCTTCAGTTTCACAGAAACAGGAGTTATGAATTTCCCGTAAAACTAGTGACTTGTATTACGAATAGCAAGGAGATCATAGGAAATATGTCACAGTACATATACCTCTAAGTGCAGGAGTAAAACAGACGCTGTGACGGTGCCTGACATTCAGACAGGCCGACATTTTTGGGCACAGACACACTCAGCGTTCGTTACGTTCATGTTTGTATCCAGCAAACAAAGAGTCCAATTTGCTTCCTTTTAGTATTTCTGGTCCGGGTCGAAGCAGATGGAGGTGGGTGAGGCCCATCAAGGTTCCTTACCACGTGTGTGGTTTAAAGACTGGACGAGACCTATAGACAAGTTCACAGTTGAATGTTAGGCGCACATCAAAATGAGATTACACTTGCTCATGTAATCCAATTGACATATTAGTAAAGTAATCAAGTGGCCGCCTTTAGAGACGAAGAAATGAAACTGTGCTTAAACTGCTTAAAATTTTCGAAATCTAACACCGCTCTAAAGAGCCAGACACCGAGTTTATGTATACAAATGGGTGAAGCACATACTATCGTTGTTAACCGAACGAACAGTTGCATTGAGAGTGGCCAAGTGGCATCACTATCACGGGTATGACATGAGTTCGAATCCCCATTGACACCTACTAGACAATCGAGCTTTGTATCCCTGCTAACCGCGAAGAGTATAGAGTGTCATGTTAGGCTCATTGGCCCTCAGATTGGCTGTTCCTTGTATAAAAGTAATGTGAATTATTGAAACAAAAACAGAAGTCAACAAGAATAAAAGCTCTGCAGATTGGAAGAGACGTTACAATGGATGCCAAATGGCGAACAATGAAGCATGTTGACTGACACTCTAGGCTTATCTGATTGCAGCGATCATCCAACATTAGCGTCGAGCCCTATTATTTTCTCCACACAAATAAAATGCCATTTATACTCAGAGAAACAAAAGCCCAGTTCAGTAACTGAAGAAAAGACAAATATAAGGATCAGTCAAAAAAAAAACGGAACAGATCGTGGTGCATTCATCCGATTGAACGCTCTAACTCTTTTACAACCAATTTCATCGGCAATGGTTCAGAGGAGAATCGGAAGGCAACAGTACGAAATGAAAGAAAACATAGCTATGCATAGCGATCTGGGCTTAAGAAAGACATGCACCTGCTTCTCGATAACTAATAGAGTCGTCAATTCAACATTTCTTGCTACTCACAATACCTTTTTCGGAAGTATGCATGGTCTGAATGTTTTTTGAATAACTTTGTTCACTTTGCGAATAGAGGAAGTTCCACAGCTCGATGCTCAAACGTCGCGCGCCGCTCCTTCGATCCTTAGTCCACATCTACGCCATCATGAGACACGTAGCTTTGAATATGAACGGCAAAAGAAGGTTAAAGACACCATACAATGGCTCTTCGACAGAAAGCAGGGAGGGTTCGGTGGGAACAAAGAATGGTTGTGATTGGCTGGTACACTCCTAGCAGTGAATGCCCCCAAACACACGAGTTTTTCGGGAAAATCACGATATTCACGAGAAAATCACTATAGCCGAATATCCTTGCATGAAGAAATCAGCAAACTTCTCTGAAAGCGAGTACCAATATGAAGGTGATTTTAGGGACGCCACAAAATCATGAATTGTTAAGTATGAAATATTTTCGCCAATCTAACGGTAACAGTTACACCACCAGTAGTTTACATATATTACTTTGAAACTTCCATAGTAGCCTGTAGAATCCTGTAAAATCGTGACTGTCTAGA